ATATGAGCAATGTAAATTTTTTTCAGCAATCCTCGCCCCCACTAAAATATTCCGGATTTCCACAAAAATATTTCAGAAATTTTGAGATCAGAAAATCCTTCATTTCATAATTATTTCCGAAATTTCAATTTCCAAAATATTTTCTACTCTTTCGCAAAAATGAATTCTCTGAAAATTTTTAAAAACTATATAAAAAACGCGCTTTTATAGTTAATCAGACTAAAAAGTAAAAAAAGAAATTCTTAGTATAAGAATAAAATGACTAACGGGAAAATTAATGTCGTTGTGGTAAAAGCGTGGGGTGTACTTAGTACTGTATTTTTTCACTAACTGCGCAGTTCGGAAAAGAATTAGAAATTATAGCAATTGTGTTACCGAGCATCCCACGCTTTTACCACATATAAATTAATTTTCTCATTCATCATTTTATTCTTATATTAAGAATTATTTTTTACTTTTTAGTTCAATTAAAACTATAAAAGCGTGTTTTTTAGTATTTTTAAACTATAATTATTTTTCATTTTTTAATTTGATCTACAATAAAAGCGTTTTTTTTTTTAGTTTTTAAATTAGAATTTATTTTGTTTATTTTATTTGTATTAACCATGAGCATTTTCGTTTTAGGGTTTTAACTTAATATTTTAATCACCAGATCTGGAAATGGGAAATCGTTAATCCTGATGAGGACAATGGAACAAAATTATTAAATTATTGCATTGTCAGCGGTCCTTGACAAATGAGCAAAATTTCGTATTAATATGACCTTTTAAAGTGGATAAAAATCGAGTTTAAAGATTCCGTTACATACAGGGTTAGCTGATAAAAGCGTGTTAATACAATAGGATATTTTACAGTTACACTCATTTTTTTTCAAGTTCGAAAAAAAAGTAGGATATTTAATTCATTTTAAAAATATAGAGAAAAAAAATGTTAAATTTTTTATATTATTATTCAAATAATTGAAACCGAAAAAAAATCAGTAAGTATAATTATATATACAGTAAATGATGTACTATGTAAAGATTTACGTATTTATTCACTGCAAAATGTGAAATGTCATTTTTACCTCTAGTTTATTATTTATTTATTTGTAATTTGATCTTGTTTAATTTAAGCTTTATTTTATTTCTTACTGCTTCTGAAAGATACCGAAAACTCTCAATTCGTTAAAGAAATGGAAATTTCCGAGATAAAACTGATCATGACTTGGTATAGATATAGTTAAATCTAAATTTTCAGATGTATATTCTTTCAATTTTTAAAAATTTAACGTTAAAAAAATCTTTTAACTTTAAATACAATAACAATTAAATATATTAACAGATGAATTCAATTATTTACTATGTTATGCTGCTTTTTTTAAAAGAAAAAAGTAATTAAGAAATATCTCAAGAATTAGAACTAAGATTTTTTTAAACTAGAACGCGTAAGATAAATTTTTTTCAAAAAAAAAATTGTAATTTATTTTTTAAAAAATATTTAATTTCTCTGTTTAAAAAAAGATTGAAAGATTTGCATCAAGTTTTCTATTACATTTATTTTTGTTCCATAAAAATGTGTTTCTAAAAGCAACTAAAAATAGTTCGTCTTATTTTATGTTATCAAAATTCACTTTAGTGGGTTTTCTTTCTACATAAAAAATTAATGTATAATGATTACATTCTAAAAAAGAATTATATATATATTAACCTTTATATTTTGAAAAAAATTATCTTCTGAGGTGAAACTATTAATATACGATATGACGCCTGTTTTTTGCAACTGATGGTGTGTTTTTTTGCACAGCTAAAACGTTTTTAATTAATTGCCGTCATCAGTATTTAAAGTAAGTCATATCAGTTATGAGTAGTTATTTCAAAATATACTTGTTAGTGAGTCTTAAAAAATATGTAATTCATCTCCATTTCCCTCAATGGTTATCTGTCAACACAAGTCGTCTTTAAAAACTACTGGAATAATTAAGAACACTTAATTATATACTGCTTAGCTGAAAAAATGTTTTACTTTTTCTTTTCCTTTGAAAAAAAAATACTTCTAAGTGATTAAGAAATCTGATCTTCAGAGATTTTCTCTATAGAAGATGTTGTTGAACTTAAAAGTGAGATTTTCATCTTCCACGTATCTTTGCAAGATGAGTTGTACTGATAAAAATAACGAATCTTGTAACTACATCTCCCTTTCTTTTGCATCAGATCGGAAAAATCTCAACTTTTATCTCGACCGTCATTCTCCGCTAAATACCACAAAAATATTCTCAGTTCTGAAATAAATGAAAGAGTCTTCTATAATTTCTTGATTGCCTTCTGTTTTTGTTCGCTTAGAAAATAAACATGAGATGTAGCCATTTTCTGTAAACTTTTTATCTGTTAAAAGACCAAACGATTTTCTTGTCTTGACATAAAATAACTTCTGTGTTCGAAGAAGAATATTGTACAGATTTAATGTCGTTTTTTGTGATATTAATGATTAAATATTCATTTTACTGATAAAAATAAAAATAATTATTGATTAATTATATTGTTCTAATGGTAAATAATTATCAAATTTCGTCCTCTCATGCCATAAAAAGTAATTAATAGCATTTACTTTGAAATATACTACAACAACTGATATTATCAGAAATGAAATTTTTTCTGCAAAGAGAAGGTAAGAAAATTTTATCGACTTTTTCTATTCGCATTTATAATAAAGTTATTAACCTAAATTGAATTTAATTTCCCTTATCAACTGTTTCAGAAATAGTTATATTGAAATTTTTTATTTATGTCTTATCAAATTCTTCTGTTGACTTATTCATATCGGTACAATATCACTAAGAAGATTTTCAAACAATGCGGAAGAATTCGAAATTCATTTCAATAAATACTATGTATATTATGTGCTGTAATAATTTTGTACTTCATAATGTGTCTTAATTGTTTAATCAATTTTGTATATTTATGTACTTCAGCAATATTTTTCTTCAATAGATATTAGTTAAAGCTCATATAAAAAAGTAATAAAACATTTCTTCACAAAAGTCCATGTTCTTGCGACATTATATTATTAAAAACGTTTTTGTTCTTGTGCTTTCCTTTAAAAAAAATCGGAGACAGCAGCATTAAATGTAATAATTTCCATTTATATCATTTTTTGTGATAAATAAAAACCAATTAAGTCATTATTTAAAAAACTGAAATTTTTTTAATGTTTTTTTTCTTTTCACAAAATATTTAAATTTTGATATTTTTAATTATTTTGATTTATATTTCTAGGATTTTTGGAAGTCAAAGTTAATATGGAAAGTAATTTTTTTATTTTATTAAGTTTTAATTATTATCTTTGAAGGTAGAGTTCTCCCACCCTCTCCAAAAAAAAAGCATTCTAAAAATATTAAATTTGGCATTCCTTTTCAATTCCTACTATTATAGTTCACTTTCTCCCTAAATACACTCTGTCACAAAAAAAATATATGCATCAAGCTACAATCACGAAACTCGGGAAGAATGTAGTCTGGTAAGAGATATGCAAATGATTAAAATTTCGAAAACCAATGAGACAAGGCTAAGTGTGCTATGCGCATATTAGTTGCGCAACTGGGGAGAGTTTAAAAGCATGAGTACGAGCGCCGTAAAAACGAATCTGATGACTTTGATAGACGATATTGAGACTTAGGATTTTAACCGGCGGCAGTACGAGCAGCTGACGGACTTTTCCGTATAATCATCAGAGAAGCAGGTTGGTCGAATAGACGTATCGGCCGCCACCTCGGTCGGAGCGATATGGTAGTTGCTCGGTGTTGGCAACAGTGGATCACAGAAGGTAGAGTGTACCGTCGCGGAGGGTCAGGACGTCCCAGGAACACAAATGATCGCGAGGATCGTGCAATCAGAAGAGTGGCCACTTCGGCACCAACAACGTCGCTTTTCAACGCCACTTACCTCCTTCCAGACATCAGTGCCATCAAGAGAAACCATAAGGAGACGACTGACCGAAGTTGGCTTGAGGAGCCGACGTCCGCTAAGACGCTTACCACTGACCCCACTTCATAGGCAGTGTCGACTTTTTTGCCGACCTCGGGCAACTTGGAGTGTGACAGACTGGAGACGTGTCATCTTCAGTGATGAATCCCGATTCAGTCTCAGTGCTGATGACCACCGCACACGTGTCTGGAGGCGCACCGGCCAGCGGTCCGATCCGGCATTTATTGTCGAGCGGCATAAAATTTCACAAGGTGTGACAGTGTGGGGAGCAATTTCTTGGGACACACGATCATCTTTAGTGGTCCTTCAAGGCACTTTGACAGCTCGCAGATACGTGGACGATATTTTAACGCCGATTGTGCTACCCATGCTATCAAGTCGCCCAGGTGCCATTTATCAACAGGATAATGCTCGTCCACATACTGCGCGACTCTCCCAACAATGTCTTCAAGGATATGGCGTCCTACCATGGCCTGCCAGGTCACCAGATCTTTCGCCAATAGAGCATGTCTGGACGCGCTGGGAAGGCAACTGCAGCCGTCCCGAGATACAGGAGAATTAACTGCGCAGATGCAAAGACTATGGCAGGATCTTCCACAGGGGGTCATAAGTGATCTAATTGAATCGATGCCACGCCGAATTTCGGCTTGTATAGCTGTCATGGCTTTACTACTTACTGATTTTTAACCTTTTGCAAGCTGTAACCGCTTAATAAAATGATATTTTGTTCTGAATTTTTAATCATTTGTTTATTTTCATATACACTACATGCATACTTTCGTGAATGTTCAATTTCTTCTGGGTGCATATATTTTTTTGCGACAGAGTGTATATACTATATATTTTGCTCAAATTTTCAATCGTTGATATAAAATAATTTTATTCAATCACTCAAGTTCAAATACACCTTTTTAAACTTGTAGTGTATGATACTTGATGTTAATACAGTTTTTTCCACTATCTCTATTTAATTAATGAATAAATAGTAACAAAAATAATAGTCCAACACCATATATTAAAAGGGAAAACGCTCATTGTGTCCCTGAAACGTAACGGATATCGCGTTGGACTTCTCATCCAGAGGGTGTGGGTTCGAATCCCACCTGGAATAGCCTAATTTTTGAGAATGTGACTTCTTTTTACTCTACTATTTTATAGGAATAATTAATTAAAGAATAAATAGTAACAAACAAAAACAATAGTTCAACACCCTATATAAAAAGGAAAAGGGAAAATTGCAAGGACAATCGCTTCCTATTTTGCCACTTAATAGTGTGATTTTATAATATGAAAACATATTTATATTAATTGTAATTATTTAGTAGAAAGCAACTAAAATAAAAAAAATTTCTTTGTTGACCTAAGTAGGAATTGCCTTACATTTTTTTTATTTATTTATTACTTTTTCCAAATAATTTCTCAAATCTAAATGCAAACTAATTTGTTTTGTGGAACATGTATATGAGAGTACCTACAAAAATTAAAATTATCTTGAATAGGAAGGGGGAAGAACTTAAAGGTGTGTAGAAATACTTACACCGACAAGGATAAGTCTGAGAAAAACATATTTAAAGTTTGTGCAAAGATGTAAACTTTGAAGCTAACAGCAAGAAAAAGAATTTTCAAATCTGTTTAAAATTAATAGGATATTAAATTTAGAATTTTTCCAACAGGATGGATAATCAAAAATGCAAAGAGGATCGTTTACATATTTTTGTCATTCTTAGGGGTACTGTGTAGTATTAGTAACAATCATATTGTTCTCTGAGAAAGTTATAAATATTAATATGTTTCTTAAGAAATAATAGAATTCTTATGCGATATCTTTTTCATCAAGCCAAGATAATCAGATTCAGAATAAAGATGGGGAAATTCATATTTTTACATTTTAATCAAACATTTTAAGAAAATCTGTGGAACTAATCACATTCAAATACTTTCGCAAAAAATATAGAAAGGATTTCAAAGTCAGATTAAAATCTAGAGAACATAAAGGATTTTTTTTTCTCCAATACCTTTTTTCTAGAACTGGAAAAATCCCTTAAATTTAGTAAGTTTTTAGTTTGGTTGAAAAACTTATTCTTTATTGAAAATTGCCACTAGAAAAGATTCAAAATATTTGTTTTCCTTTTTAAATTGGAAAACTTTTTAAGCAGATAGACTGAAATTAATATTTGAGCCAATTATACCTTTAAAAATTCATTCCTGTAAAATAAGAGGTAAATCAAGAAAAAAAGAGCTCAGCAATTAAAATCAATACTTTTCTTATTCTTTTCAATAAACTAAACTAGTTTGTTAAATTCAAGAGATAAGAAAGCGTCCAAAAATCGACAAGTTGGAGAAGTGTACGAAAAAAAACCCTGCGAGTGTTAACTTTGTAAGAAAATGGTTTAATGCATTTAAAAATAGTCATATAAAATGCATGATGTATAACGAAATGAAGCGCTCATTAGCAATGGTGACCTAGAACAGAACGTTGAGGAAAATGCTCAAGAAAGCAGTCGCAATACGATGTTATCGATATGTAGTGGGTTACTTCAAATTTAAAAATTGCTTGTTACAAAACTGAGAGAGAACACTTACATTTTCGGAAGTTATGCTTGTGATAAGTTCCAAAAATTCTGAATTGCACAAAACCAATCATTAAGGGTACAGAGGACTTTCAAATCGGTAAAAATCGATCAAATTTTTGGTTTTTCACTTTTAGCATATGTGCAATTCTTGCAATAACTACTACTGAAAACAAAAAGAACTTTTTAATTCCGAATATCTTTTATAAAAGCTTTGCTCTTTTCAGTTCGAACCCATGTTTTACCACGCCTCTTTGTTAACAGAACAATATAAAAAAAAAAGAGATTCATAAGTATTTTTAAAAAATGACAATAAACATAAGGAAAAGAATGACCCCTCAGTTATGGGGCAGGAAAACTTTAAAACTAAATTTTTTTTTTATTTATTTGGTCGTATATAGTTTTAAATCACTGTATTCTTACAATGTGTGGTAAGTTGTTCATAAAAGTTACTGTGCCATGATCAAGCAGACATTTTTTTTATTTCTATTATTTTACAATTAGATTTGTTATATATAAAGTTTAAGTGTTTGCATGTGACTTTAAATTGCATGTTCAGTTATATTTCAGACGATTACATCAAAATATCAATTTTTTTCTAACTGAAAACTTATTTATTGCTGAAAAATAGGTATGTGTGTATTATAACAGTACAAATAAGATCAGGTTATAAGTTAAAAATAATATGGTATCCCTTAATTACAGCAATAACCACTTTCCCCAAACGTGGTTGAGGATTATAATCCTCATGGACATAAAAACCTTCATATAAGACAATTTTAATTTTTGTCACTTCAACAACTTTGAAATGCTCCATGCGCAATAAATTTTCCCCAATTGCAGTAAAAATTTGCACAAATATTCTCTATATATGTATAAATAAATGCTAGTGGATTTTTTTTATTTAAGGGCAGGGAAAATAGTAAAAACAAGAGAATGTAAACATTTTAGTTAGTTTTTAAGAAAAAACATTTAAGATTTATAAACATAAATATATTTAAAAAAATTTTAAAAAAAGAAATATGAAAAAATCTCACTAAGTTTTATTTTTATATATACTACGAACAAAATGAACTAATATTGACTGTGTAATGTGAATTCATGCGCATGCAGCATTTTGAAATGTATTTTAATTATTTGGTACAATTAAAATTAAAAATTTAAATATCTCTGAGACCATTTCAGATATTTTCACTAAATTTTGCACATTAATATCTGTTAACACATTACACATTTCCTGCAAATTTTAAAAAAATTAATTGGTAATTAAAAAAATTGAATTTGAAAGTTCACTGTACCTTAAAGGTTGCACTTTGATTTTCCCTTCGAGAGGTTTTATGTCGAAAGAGATAAGATTTAAGTTTTTTTTTTTCAAATTGTTTGGGGATAAGTAGGAAGTTTTGGTTATTTTATTTTTTTCCTCTAGAAGACTCAGTAAATTCAAATAACTGAAATTATTATCATTTGCTACCACACCTTAGAGGCCGATGTTACGATGACAATGACTACGTCAAAACAACCGTGTTGGAATAGTTAATTAATCAAGCGGCAGGACTCCAAGAGGGTACAAATTCAAAAACTAGTCGTATGATTCAATAATTTCTATTATATCGATCCAAAATAAAAGTTGAAAATTGTAAATTAATGTTAAGGGTTTCATGTTAAAATGAGAAAATGTGAAAAAAGTTATCTTTTGCTTCTTTTTATGTAGAAAAAATACTCATAAAATATACCTGATGAATTACAATTTTTATATCACCATATTTAAACATTTAACGTAAGTTTTGGCTGTTTTCCATATATCTAAAAATTTAAGTTAAATGTTATTAATTGAGTCAAATTACTTTGCTTTTCAAAAGAATCAGAAATAATATTAAAATATAAACGCTTTGATTTTCGAAAAATATTCTCTGATTAAGTTATTAAAAAAACCCCGTCTATTTAGTATTTAGAACGCAATTTTTTTTAGTGATCTAATCTTGCGTCCATTAATTATCTGTATCAAACTTTATAAATATAAATTTTAAATTGAAAAGAAATGTCTGAAGTTCTGTATTTCACGATTTTTTTTTCTGTTATAGGGGTTATAGTTATTTCTTTTAGAATGGTAGGATTCTAATAACACGATTGCGATTACGAAAACCGCATCCATTATCTTCAACTGATGAAGAAGCTAATATTATGCTCATTACATAAATATGAGAAAGAAAACAATTCTAAAATTAAGGCTGAGAAGTACTTCTTATATATATAAAAAGAACTTTTAAACGTTGGAATCCAAAAGGCTTTCTACTACGTAGCAATTTTGGACTCTGGACGTATTTATAAAGTTCGATATTTTATTATAACATAAGGAAACATTTTAAGTTCAATTCCTCTCTAAAAGACAGTTTTTATTCCTTTACTTTACAATATTCTTTCCATTGATTTTGGAACAAAAAAATGTATTTTGTCAAAATAGAATTTTTTTTCTGGTAATGTACATCAAATTAATGCAGACATTTAGTTAATCACAAATGTTACAAAATTAATAATTATTTCTGTACAAGGCTACGGAATGAGTACAATGAAATAAAACTCCATCCGGATTTTCATTACCACGAGAAGTCTGCATCAATTAAATTATTTGGCAAAAACTATTGCTTTCCTTCAGCGATTCCAAAGACACAATACCGCAAAAGGTTTTCCTTCGAAGAACTGTTAGAAAAGAGAGAGAGGTCGAGACATCTTCCATTTGATACTGTATCAGAAGGACAACCCAAGTGGCAAAAAGCCAAAGTCACAGCTCTGAAGTGTGATGGAATCATTGTACAAGTGGCAATTTGACAACTTCTTTAGTGTAGTTAGATTACCCCATCTATCATCTCAATCTGTCAAGCCCACTTATTATCTTTGCATCGCAGTTAGTAGATAATTGCTGTGAACCATCTTTTAAAATGGGTTAGGGCTTAGAGCCTAGCTTAAAAAATTTTCCCACCAGCCATCCCACAAAATGGAAACATTTCGTTTAATAATTTTAAAAGTGCTCATTAGAGTGGATCGAAATTTCTTTTTTTTCTTATTCGGAATTTCAAAAGCTATCTATACCTGTTCCATGGTTTATAGACAAAGGGAAAATTGATATTTCAAGAATTAATTTTGATATTTACTGCCACAGGGGGAATAAAGTTCAGGTATTTGATTTTTATGTAAGGTAAAAAGTCAAAGTAATTTTTTGTCAAAGTGAAGCAACATTTTAGTACTTTTTAATGCAATGGGAGAAAATATACTAAATAATTACAAGGAGGGGGGAACCATCGGGCACTTTTAACTACTTCGTTAATGTTAACTTTTTAAAAAAAAAACCTGCTGCAGGGACGTTTTAAGACTTTTTGAAGCTCTGGGTCCAGAGACAGCTTAAGATTTTTTGAGACCCTAGGCCGCTATACAAATGTAGGCCCTACCTGTGATGTTTAAAAGTAGACAGTATATAGGATGCATTGTCTAATACTCGTACAAACAGTAATTTGATACAAATAAATTTGCATGACTCACAATATCA